CTAAAGCAGTTTATTTTTTTTTAACTTGTATTACTGTATATAGTTTTCAGCTCTCACAAAGATGATGAGTTTAATCAGTTGTAATGCAATGATCGATTTTTCTGCTCTATGCAAAATTAAAAATATTCATTCTCCAGGGAGATTTTATAGTATCCTCTTAGTTTAGAGTTGGCTATGTTAATGTCATGAGTGAGCTCTCCTTGGGCACTACCTGTAGCAATATTGCAAAACAGAAACATAATTAGTTTTCGTATTTTAATACTATAATTTGCTTTAGGCTGTTAAACTAATTTAATATACAGTCATAGCATCACTTTATGAGTGATTATAGAAAAGATCTTTTTGCAGCTTAAGACAACAAAATTTTTAATAATTTTTCCTCACAAATTCTGTGTCAATAACGTATTTTCAGTTATTGCTAACAAACGAGTTTTTGTGTGCTGAAATATGCTATATTGCGGTGTGTCTTGTAATGAAAAGGATTTTTCTTGAAATATGTTTTTTAAAAATTTTTTTTAAATAAGTATTGTTGGTTGTCATGTGTTAGGTACTCAGCTGAAGGATAAAGGTCGATAACCACAGCAAACTGCTTATTAGATGCTTCAAGTTATTAACATTTGTATGGTGCTTTTAGTTCCTCCATAGTGGGGTTGTTAGGAAGTGTTCCACAGAAGTATTTAAAGGTCTTGTCGCGTTTGGGACTGCATTTTGCTTGGTTAACATTAACTTGAAGTTATGGGCAGACGTGATTTTTAAACATGATGTGCTTGTGCTTCGAAAGAAGCGCTTGTGTTCATCTAATCAGAATTGGGCATGGTTTGTGGCAAGCATTGCTGGTTAGTTCTCTGAACTCCATCCTAATGTGTAGCTCCTTCCCTTTCTTTCCTCTGTTACTGTGAATATTTTCTAATAATATTTGTACATGGGTCTACCAGTGGGAGTTGTAAGTATTTTTGCAATATTGTGCTAAAGGATTAATTGATGGAAGTGCACCGTTTTTACATTTTTAATGAATGGTTACACTGCTAACGTGTCTTGTGCAGCGGAGGACTGAGTTCCCACAGTAGAACAAGAAAAGTAGTTGCAGGATTAGGAGAGGGATCTGTATGAAATTAGGCTGAGTAGACAGGAATTCTTTACTTGGTAAAATTGCCGTGCAACTGGACTACCACTTCTGTGAGATTGTGTTGGCATAAATATGTGTGTGTGTGTGTGTATGTATGAATGAGGGACTTAAATTACCTTTCACCTCATCAGTCTAGACCCTGTGAAGCTACAAAACCTCAGGTCACTGTTACTTTCCAAAGGGTTTAGAATGTATTTTAAGTGCTGCATGAACTTTGCTGTATTTACTTTTGTAGCTGATTGGACGCTGATCTATCAGTCTATGAAAAAGAGCTGCAGTCTTTGTGTATGAGGTTTCTCCGTGGCTTCTTGTCCTAAGAAATAAGCAACAAAGTTCTATCTGCAGATCTGCCTGCATTTGGCACAGCCCCAGTTATTCTTACACCTTCTTACAAATAGTACTGCAACAATGTTTTTTCAGTATCTGTGCATATGCTTGTAGCATGACTGACTAATGAATATGTTAGTGAATACTGGAATAAGTTAAAGTAGATAGGAAGATGCCTACTGCTAACTTGGCAACCATCTGACGCTGTCATTACGTAAACTTGCTGTAATATTATAAAAGTCTGCATAGGGACAGGTGCCCTGATTCAGAAGTTTGCCAGCCGTTTACTGTCACTGGTGACTACTGGGAAGTAGATAAATTGGCTGCTGGTGTTAGCCTAAGAACAAGCAAGTAAGCAGCCTGGCTACGGCAGCTGCAGCTTCAGTCTCTAATCCCAGTTCCTGCCCTTTCAGTTACTGTTCTTTAGCGGCTGCCTCGTTTTATTGTGCTGTTAGTTTTGTAACAGGGCTGGATAGCAGTGTGAATTGCAATGCCACGTTTCTCTGTTGTGATCTGTGCTGTGGTTCACCCTGAGAACAAGTGGCGGTTCTTTCTAGTGAAGTGAAATCCTGTTAGGGGTGCAGGCAGCTGCCAGAATGCCCTCCGGCGCCTGTTGCCTTGGTGGGAGCATGGACAGCTTGAGCGCTGCACGCGACTGCTTCGCTTGGCAGCATTGAACGACACAGAATCGCTTACAGAAATGCTGCTGTGAAGAAGTGTCAGTCTCTGCAAAAAGTTTTTGAAAGTCTTCATAGCAGTCGGGCGCAGCAATGCAGCTGGGTTGCAGGCAGGGCTCCTCCGGCCTTCCCCTCTTCCCCTGCAGCTGCAGCCTGCAATGCACCGCTCTGCTCTCTGGAATTCATCAGCACAGTCCTGTTAGGTATCATGTAGAAATATGGGTTGCCAATAAAAATATCAATATCTAATCTATCTAATTATTAAAAGTTTTTTTCATTTCTTTTTTAATAACCATGCTCTTGTAAGACTCCATATTAATAACAGTGCAATTCATCAGTCTTCGGGGCATAATCTTGATTAGTTTTTGGGCCACTGTCTTATACAATTATCAATATAGAAAATAATCTGTTAGACAATTTAAATTTAGTGGAGAGTGTTTAAAATATCTTTCAGCTTTTCAGTGTATAGACTTCTTCATATTTGGACATACTAGCTTTCTTGCAGCAGCTTTAAACATACATTTTGAGACTGAAAGCTCTGACCTTACCCCACTGACTCAGAAATCTTTATGGTGCCTGTGTTTCCAGCCATGTGTAAACCTTTGTGGAAATAAGATAAAAAGCTACAGGGTCAAAGACAGAATCTTTTTTTTCCCCTTACACAGTTCCCGTACTGTAGCTCAGGGTTAGGGATTACATTAGTACAGTAGGGTGTATGCTTCAGTGACTTGCTTTCTATCACAATTAAATTTTGTTATTCTGATGATGTATCACAAGAGAAGGTTATGTGGCAAAAAAAATTCTTCTCTTATCCCAGGTATTGTTAAGGGAGCACCAAAAAATTCTTTGGGACTGTGAGAAGCTGCCTTTTACCTTCTCAAGAGGAGTAGTTGGTTGAGACGCTCAGCTTCTCCTCATTGCTTGGGATAGCTTCACCAAAGCATTTCGCTATCCTTTTTACAGCTGTTAAAGGCAACTGCTCATCTCTCTGCACTTCACTCAGGCAGAGCAAAGGACAAGATAATCCCCTTAGCCTGTTAAATGCTCCATCCCATCTGGTAGGTGATAATTGCATTGTAAGGGGATTAGCACAGTGGGATATGCTTATAGTGTAATGAAAGCTTCACTACAAGTGTGAAAGTCAGCTGAAAGCATTCGAGCAGTTTGGGACCTTACATTTGCACATTTTTGTAAATATCATAAAATACAAGTTTCATCTGGAGAAAGTGTGCAGTACCTTTACATGCCTTCACATGTGTGTAACAGATTATAAATTTGTTTTGAGACATCAGTAGTCTAAATACCTGAAACCCTCTTGCAGGAGCAGTGGAATAGGCTTTTGTTTAGCAGAACGTTTTAGGGCAATTCTGTGATTATAGCTGTACTAAATGGACCCCAAGTACTGACTTTTACTCAAAACCCCTATGACTTTGAAATCATGCGGTTAAGTTGTTATTGGTATAGGAACACCCATGTTATTAAACACTGCTTAGAAATCTTTGTCAGTAAAGGTGAAATTTGAATAAGCCACACTGTGAGTTATATCAGAGTAATTTTGTGTCAGTAGGGATAAGAGGATTTCAAGCTGAAAGTAACTCTCCTTGCAGCCAACCAGAATAAATGTTTTGAAATTTCAATTTCAAGCATGAGCGTAAGGTAGTGCAAAATGACTCTTAAAAAAAAAAAAAAATTAAAATTGTCCTCTCTGTTTTTAAGTTTAGCTAACGCTGTCAGTAGTGAAGTTAGTAAATTTTAGGGCTCAGAGCATTTCATAAGTTAACTGTAACTTAACTTCCTTGCCTTTCAAGATGTTAAAGATCTGTTTGAAGCTATGTTACGTAGGGCGGTAGCTCAGGGTTGATTACCATCCTGTTGGTTGTGCTCTCTCCAGACTCCCCGTATGGTACAAGAAACTGGGCAAGTTGCTCAGTGCTGGCCAGTATGTGCCGTTGCGCTGGTTTGAACATTAACCTGTTAGGTTAAAACAGGGCTTGGTTAGCCCACACTGCGCTGTGATAGTGTTTCGTAGCCAGTTAGATTAGGAACTTAACAGAGATGTGTGTATTTTTACGTAAATAAGAGAGTCAGGTGTATAAAAATGCACTGCATGCGGTAGATGCTTTAGTGATGTTGTGTGACCTTGCTGTGGGATTAAATTGTCTAACGAATTAAGGTTCTGTGACCAGCTGTGTGGTTGCTGTTTCTTCAGTTTCCAGACCCTGACTTAGCAGCTCTAGTGTGTTTTTATGGGCTGTCTGCAGTAACTTTGCCAGTCTGTGATAAGGTGGTTGAGTGTGGTTAAGCTCAACCTTCTCTTACTTGATCATGGCTCTGAGTGCACAGGGTCGAGTAGAAAGTTGCTTTTCCAAAGTTGTGGTGATGAGACATGGGAGTGATTTTACAGATAGTTTTTTTTTTTTTCCCTTCCTTTTTTATTTTTGTTATTTCTTATAAGGTGGCTGAGCTCTAAAGAACATTCCTTAATTTTCTTCTTTTAGATGGGAAGTGTTTACCTGAGGAGAGGAAACTTTGAGAAATTTGCTGGTTTGTTGTCTGCCATTCCGTAGTTTTAAATAAACCTGCGTGAAAGGTCATGAGACTCAAAAAACCCAACCAAAAAATGAAGTGTATCCCCCTCTCCCCACCTCAGTCCTTTCTGAAATACCAGTTTCTGTCAGGTGAAAATCCCACTTGGAAGAACCGTTATGTTGTCAGTATACAGAAAATATTTTTGAAGAGGAATTTTTAAATGTTTAGAAATGGGTGTTTTTAACAATCCTTACATATATTTAAAGTATATACTGTTAAAAGTATGTAGCAAACCAAATCATATATGGTATATAATAGTTTTTCTTCTTATTTAGGTGACAAACAGCATGTTTGGTGCTTCAAGGAAGAAGTTTGTAGAGGGGGTTGATGGTGACTACCATGATGAAAACATGTACTACAGCCAATCATCAATGTTCCCACATCGGTCAGAAAAAGATGTAAGTTGAATAAGCTTATTTTTTCCCCTTTCAATAGTGCGATAGTTTCAAGTATGTGAAATATGTGTGAGGAAGGGTTTCACTTAGTTTTAAGCTGTGAATGATGGTGTTTTCAGTGGCAAGCGCTTTAATTTTAGTGAGTTTATACATGTAAACTTCAGCCATATGCTTGCCAGAGTTTTATTTTTTCATCTTTAAGAATTGTATTTGTAACTTAAATTGGATTATTGATTATATCTTGTGTTTACACGTTGTGTCTACAGTCTTTTTGTTGTGGTTTTACATTTTATATCTTCAACTGTTTTTCATTTCTGAAAATGCCTTGTGCAGCTTGTTTGTCTGCTCAAGTATTCTACTTCCCATTTGTAATGACACAAAGTTACAAAACCAACCATTCTTAAACATTTTTTTCCCCTTGATAATGCATTATTGTATGTTAGACCTGTACTGGCATTACTGAAGCTCTGCTTATTATTGAAATAAATAAATTAGCCAGTAAAGTATGTCACTTCTACATGGAGTGGCATGTAGAAATATATGGAAGACTGAGAGCATGACTTGAGGTTCATGTCACCTGAAGGTCAGTAATACCATCTCATGACAGGCTTGCCTTTAATATGTGTAAGCAACATATATGCTAGATTTTCTTTGTAATTAAAAAAAAAAATCCCTTCAGACTTTCAGAAAGGTGTCACTGCTTCAAGTCTGCCTCCATGACTGTCCAGAAATATAGTTGTTTAATAGCAGATGTGAACATAGTCTTGATAGACCTTGACCTATGTAAGCATAAACATTTCCTATAGACTCTCAGTTAATTGAATTTTAATCCAGATTTTCAAAGATAGAAGGGAATAGGTTTAGAGTAGAAGGCTTTTTAAAACAAAACAAAATGCTTAAATGCAGCTTTCCAATTTGGTTTCATAAATTATTTTGATGAGAAATTTCAGGTGAGCCAGCAAAGGTTAAAATGTACTGCAGTGTAAAGAAAACTAAATAGGCTGCTCTTTTCTGTTTATGTCCATTACATATGTGCATGTACCACAGATGCACACAGGCACAATGGAATATTTATAATGTTGAACATACTTTCCTTTCTGTGAGCACTGAGAGGTGCAGCTAGCACTCTCAAATTTCTCCAAAGTGATTCTTAAATGTTAAATCGCTACTTTTAGATTTGACGCACTGAGGGAGAGAAATCATTACGGTGTAGTAAGAAAGGTAAAGTGAGATGAACGCTATGCTGTACAGTGTACACACAGTGAAAGCTGATGCTTGGCACGTTGTTGACACAGTGGATGAGTGTTTTAGTTGCCTACTCTTTCTGTAGGCAATGTTGCAGAAGTGGATCTTAGAATGGGACTTCACGAGAAGGAAGGTGGGTGTTCCAGAAACCAGGAATGACAAATGAGAAATCGTGAAAGCTTGTGGGAGAAGTGGCCAAAATGGGGCATAGAAGCTGCTGTAGTTGGCAGAAGAGCAATACCGTTCCGACAGGAAATGGAAGAATTATTTTTGCAAAAGCTTTTTAAAGTTTTATTTCCAAATTCTTGTAAAGGGTGTTTTTTTTTTTCCCCTCTGTAGCTTCACTATTGATCATGACAACTTTCTGAGTTTATGTTTATGAAATCTTAAACCATTATATGCTATTGTAATATTTTTTAAAGTTGATCAAAATAAATATATGGTGGTGATATTGACATTGTCTGTACACCTTTGATCACTCATGTATAGCTAAATGTATATTCTGTGTTACATGTTCCTTTTGATATCTCATTTGGCTCACAGTAGATGAGAAACATTGCAAAGGTGGCTGTATTCTTTTAGTTTCTGACCAATTTTGCAGCTTTGAAACCTTTTCTAATTTAAAATAACCATGTTTTCCAATAGTCTTTCAACTGGAATTCTACTAAAGATGTTGTTCTGTATATGAGAACACAATAAATATATTGACTGTGTTGTTATTTGGATAACAGTATTGACAGACAAAAATAAATTCGCTCAGAATCTTCTCTGAGTAAGCTAATAAAGACTGATGTTCAAAACCTGGATCCAGTTTTACGAACGCTTGTGGGGAAAACCTTCCAGCATTCTAGATCTTGAAACACTTTGAATCTTTCTGTCTTCATGTTTATATTGAAATGCAGTAGGTAAATGTGGGCAAAAAAAATAAAGGTAGAGAAAACTTTGAGAAAAGGAGTAAATCACTTTTATATTCAGAAAATCCAACTGGTAATAAAAAGACTGAAACGTAGCTACACAATCTCTTTTTAAGCCTACTGAAAAATGGCAGTCTTTATGCCTTTTTTTACAGTAGAATTGTCTAAACAAGGTGCAGTTTTACTGCAATTTAAATTATTGCTCTCTTTGTCATTTTCAGTTTCTTATATGTCTTTACTGAGAGCAGGTAAAATTCACGTATTGCAGGTTTTGGCTACAAGCCTGTAGAAAATGAGTTAAACGTTAATTTTTTTTTTTTCCCCAATGTATCACATATACACATGAATCCTGAGTCCTTCATTTATGCCTCATTTATCCTCTAGGATTCTTCAACTTGAAATAGAGTGGTTCTGAGCGAAGCCCTTTGTGAATGGCCTTAAATTTAAACTGCTCTTTGGGAAGGGCTAAAGCTTGTTTAGTATTTACTGGACATGACGAGGTGTTTTTCTGTTTTTCACTTTGTTGAAGTCTTACTGATTCTAGCCTTAGAAGTTGCTACTTTCCAAGGAATTGCTACTGCGTATGTGTACTCCAAGCAGAGGAACATACAGAATGGTGAAAGCTTCCTAAAATTTAGAGTAGAGTAAGGGCTATTACTGCAAGCATTTTATTTTGTGTAAACTTCAGAACCTGTTTTTCACTTTACTTTCACAGTAGGGTTTCTGTCCTTGTGAAGAGGCATTGTCTTCAGGTGGGGTACAATGATGACTTGTGCACAGTTTGACTGGGTTGGGAGCTCTTTAGCTTTCTACTTTGTTTTAACACCGAAGGTGGAGGTTTTAATTTTTTTAAATTATATTAGGAAATAGTTCTTCACTCATTAAGTGAAAGAAGAGTTTAGAACCTATCTGCAAAAGATGTGACAAAAATATTTTATGCCTTCTAATAAACAATTTTCATAGCACTTACTGATGTTGTATTCTTGTGACTTGTTGCTTTGGCTAATTTGAATTTTAAAAGAATTTCCTGTACACAAAGGTAAAGTGAACTAAGGCTGCTCAAGTCCAGTCTTAAATTTTGAGGACTTTTTACAAGTGGGAAGAAGTAGCAGCAAATAGTTTAGGACATGTTAGTTTTATTTCAGAGCCTTAGTGTAGCTAAAAACTAAAAGCCTTCTTTTAACTTACCTGCTTTTTCATTAAGGAATACAGTTCTAGGCAGTCAGGGTTGATATGGTAATTGAAATGGAAAAGTTGCATGTTACTCATGCACAAGTGCTTCCAAAATCATACGAATGCTGTTTGGGTCTGTTTTACGCACAAAATTATGGTTGCTTAGATGAAATTAGATCTTACTCAAGCCGTCTAATGCTTCCTTTTTACTAAATAAGTGGCTTTGCCTTGAGTCATCCCAAACCTTGCTGTGCTAAGTAGGGAAGTGGAACAGACTATATATCCATGAAAGCTCTGTCTGTGAATTCTGGGCACTTAGGGTCAGCGCGTGATAACCAGGTCAATAATACTTTGGCAAAGAAATTAGATATTTTATAGAACTTGCAGAAATTAGAACAGTTTAAGCAAATAGTTTAAGATTTGGCTTGAAACAGATGTGGTCCTGTAACTTAAACTGACAACAAGATGCACAATGTGCCCACAAAATAATTGCAGAGCTTATTTGTGGCCAATTTCAGCAACTTAACTGAGCTGTCTATGCACTCAGCAAAATCATTTTGAGAACAGGGGTACATGTATTTTTATTTGGATAGAGTGACAATGGTAGAAATTGGTGACTCAAAACCTTCATATACTTTTGAATCTACTGTCTTCAAATGAGCAAAAAAAATTTTGATGAGCTTTGGGAAAAGACGAGACCTGTTCAGTCTGAACTTCTTTGATTTCTCATGTATAAGAATGTAGGAAGTGCTCTACAAGGTTTGACCGGTCTAGCCCAATCCACTGAAGATACCTATGTGGGAATATAAGATCAGGGCATCTTCTGTTGTTCTGAACTGCAGTTATAAATTTTACAGTAGACAGACATGGCTTTTAATGAGGATCAGCCCAAATTATGAGGAAAGTTAGGATAATTTTTTTCAATGAATGCTTTTACCATTTCTTGGCCCAGTGCTTTGCTGTTCATTTTCTCTCCCAGCTGCTAAACAGATGAAAAAATGCTCACAGTAACATAGTAATAATTCTCTGGTTTGCACTTCTGATGGGTTAGTTTGCTGAGCTTATTCTCCTCTCTGAAAAATCTTAATGTTTTAACTAATTCTGGACTTTCTCAGTTGAGACCTGATGTTCTTTTGCAACTCAGTTCTTTTCAAAACGTGGCTTCTTGTGAAGTCAAATATATTTTAACAATTGGGGCAAGTAAGATCTAGCCTGCAGATTAGATTTGGCTCATGACAACTATAATCTAGCTCCTTGGCACTACCTTTCCTGAAGTAGGAGGTCCTCAGATTTGGATATTGAGCGCAGTGAAATGGGTTATTGATTCTGGGAACCTGCTTTCCAGAGGTTTCTTCCATCCTGATGTAGTAGAAGCATGTCTGTGATGGATCGAATTCAGGTGTTCTTCTGTCATGAGACAGTTGCATGAAGGCAGACATCAGTGGGTTTGTCTTGTAATGCGCACGATGGCGGTGATACAACGAAGGGGTGGTCAGAAGCTGTTATCAAGGCCTTTTCCTGCAAACTTCCATTAAAGTAATTTGTAGAACCTTTACCTAACTCTTACTGTGTTTTGAAATATATGGCCTTACAAAGGTGTGGTACTTTTACAAGAGAGAGAATCCTGAAACGAGACTTAGCTTACCATGGAGATAGAGATCCAGAACCTTG